CCATTTTGATTGGTTAAACTTAACGGCACAGCTACGACGTTACAATAATGACATAATGTTAGTACAATGGGTAGGTCCAGATATAAAAAACTCTGATGAAAACATCATTCAATTCGATCAAACGAGTTTGGGTCTACCAACTAGAGAATACTTTTTACAAGACATGAATCGCAGATATCTGCAAGCTTACCAGCGTTTTATGTCTGAAGTCATGCAAAAGCTAGGAGCATCCCAAGAAATTGCTGTGAAGACTGCCGCTGAGATTGTAGGTTTCGAAACTCAACTTGCGGGCATCACTTCTCCAGCAGATCAGCGGCTAAACGTAACCAAACTTTACAAACGGATGACACTAAAACAGTTACACGAAATCGTACCAGAAATAAATTGGGTGCGCTATTTAACAATTTTACAGGAGCGCAATGTGCAGGATTCCGAACAGATTGTGGTATATGCCATGGATTATATGCAGGAATTAGTATCACTACTTGCAACAACTCAACCACGTACCGTTTCTAATTACATACTTTGGCGTTTTGTACGCCATCGTATTAATAATGTTGATGATCGATTTGAAGATATCAAACAAAATTTCTATCACACCCTTTTTGGTCGTGAAGAAAGCCCTTCTAGATGGAAAGTTTGCATTGCTCAAGTAAACACCAATATGGGCATGGCATTAGGCTCTATGTTCGTCAAAAAATACTTTGATGAGAATAGTAAACGTGATACACTTAGAATGACACATGAATTACAACAAGCATTTCGTGATGTACTCAAAACTACTGACTGGCTAGATCCAACTACAAAGCATTTAGCAGAATTGAAAGTTAACGCAATGTCTCTCAAAATTGGTTATCCCGATTTTATATTAAATCAAGCTGAACTTAATGAAAAATATGCTGGTATTGAAATACATCCAGAAAAGTATTTTGAAAATACCCTAAACGTATTACTCCATACATCAAAAATTGAACAGGGAAAATTACAGGAAGCTGTAAACAAGACAACATGGCAAACTGCTCCAGCTATAGTTAATGCATATTATAGCCGTAACAAAAATCAAATAATGTTTCCGGCAGGTATATTACAGCCACCATTTTACCATCGCCACTTTCCAAGAGCACTCAACTTTGGTGGCATCGGTGTAGTTATCGGGCACGAACTAACTCATGGCTTTGATGACAAGGGTCGATTATTTGATAAGAATGGTAGCATACACAAATGGTGGACAGACTCTGCTATTAAAGGATTCGATGAACGTGCTCGATGCATAATTGCACAATATAGCAACTATACAGTTGGAGAAGTTGGTATATCCCTTAATGGAGAAAGTACTCAAGGTATGCTTCGCAATTATCGTTTTAATATTCTTTAATAAAATATATACTTATTAGGAGAAAATATAGCAGACAACGGTGGACTGCGCCAAGCTTTTCATGCTTATAAGCGTTGGTTGGTAAGCAACCCTCAAGAAGCATCTGATGAACGATTACCTGGCATTGATATGAGTGGAGAGCAGTTATTCTTTTTAAATTTTGGTCAAGTATGGTGTGGAGCTATGCGTCCAGAAGCTGTTCGTAATAAGTTAAATACTGCCATACACAGTCCAGGAAGGTTTCGCGTAATTGGCACACTTTCGAATTCCAACGATTTTGCACGTGAGTTTCGGTGTCCTAGAGGTTCTCCAATGAATCCAGTTCACAAATGTAGTGTATGGTAAAGACGACTCAAAATAGTATTACCAATGAATACAGTCCAAATCATTCAAACCAATTTACTCCTTGTTTTTCCCACCAATATCAAGTAACACTTATCAATGACTTCTTAGAAGTTTCAGCTAAGCGAAGGTAAACTAAATAATAACCAGTACATACACGATTTAGCACGATTGATGAAGCTATCGTTTTCTTGTAGATTTTGTTCCATGTACTGATGTTTCTCAAACTGTGTCACTCTATAAATTAGACAAGGATTATAAAGAGCCTAAGGCGCAAGCAATCAAACATTAATTTTAAGCAATGCATTTTATTTTTTAAATATTTTGTTTTAATTTTATTTATTAAATTATCTAAACAACTAAATTTAATTATATTTTGTAATTAATGTTTTTAATACGAATATATTAATAAAAGAAATCTTATTTTATAAAACTAAAATATTCTGGAAGAGAAAATTACTCAAATTTTAAATAAATAATGTTTTCTCTTAAACATTAAAAATATAACAAAATTGGATTTATTTTTATTGAGCCAAAAATTGTTTAAATTAAGAATTTTCTGAAAGTATTTAGTTGTTTCCATGCTCTCCACGTGTGCGGGAGTACCATTTGTATCTGGCGAAAGTATCTATCGTTTTAAATACTTTTCAGTGTGGACAGTTAAAAAAGCAAGAAATAAGATGAGAAAACCTTTGAAAATTAAATTTTTAGTTACATACTTGTTTTCATTGATATTTAGTGGTGCAGTAAAAGTAACCATGGCTTATTCACAGCTGGATTCTTATAATTTTGAGTCTAACCAGGGCACAAGCAGCAGCATACGTATCGGTAAGCATGCACTCATAATAGGAAGAGTGTCTTTTTTATATTGCACATATGTCAGCTTATTTACTCTCAAACTAATTGTGTGTATGGCATCTTATTTATTATTACGATATGTCCGATTTTATAGACAAAACTTACAAATTTCTTAGGTTTGATCTCCGATTTCAATACTGAACATTTACGCACTGCATTTGAGTTTGGAATATTCAAAGCGAACTCTGACTTAAGCGTTCCTCTAGTGGGAATAACTGAAGAAATCAATTACGGAAACTCTCTTCAAGCAAATGATAAATTATGCCAATTAATGAAGGTAGGTATAATTAATAATATGAAAGATGGCATATTTTATCTCAATTAACTCAATTCCTTTCTAGGATAGTATTGGTGGGGTATTTGCTCCAACAGCAAAACATACTGCAGCTCATCTCATGCAAATATGTGATGATAAAGATGTACCATATATTTATCCACGGATGACTGACAAGTACGATGGTTTTAATTTATTTCCTCATCCAATAGATGTAGCAACTGCTTTACATTCTATCATAAGTGCTTTCGAGTGGTCACGGTTTATATTTCTTTATGAATCCTGTAAGTAAAGATTTGTTAAGTTATGGTAGTGATCCAAAGCGAAATATTTGTACTACTCGTAGTGAATTTTAGAACCTAGTATAATAATCAATTGTAAATGTACTTAATGTGATGTACGTATAGTTTCTATTAAACTAACGTTCAGTGAACTGGAATACCGACTAATAACCTAAGAATCATTTTCTTATTATTTTGACCATGTTTCTTTAATTTCTTTTATTATTTTCACTAATACATTTTAGCCAATTATCATACGATATTAGATGGACTAATGTCATTTTATAGTAGCAATGGCCCAGCCATATCTGTTGTGCGTTATGATTTAAATTTAAATGGTAACTACAAACCCGTACTGCGTCGTGTTCGGAAATCTGTAGATAATAGAATTGTAGTTGTGGGGTCTACACCATCGGTTGCTGAGCTTTTAAAGCAGGTTTATTTAAAACATATTGATTACATCAAACGTTTATTAATAACGGTTAGTCTTTTAGGCACAGCAAGTCGGTATGATTAATGAGGACTATAAGTATATAATCGGGAACTTGGACTTTCAAACTTTTGACTTGGAAGAATTTAAATATAGTGAAGTTAATATTACTGGTTTCCGAATGTTTTCAATAGATAACCCACAAATACGAGAGTTAATGGATCGTTTAAATGAAGATAAACTTGCAATGCAGTACGGAAAGCCCAAAGAAAAAACTAACGAAGAAGGTAAAGATATAGTATATAAATGATATATAGCTTTTTGTTATATAAAAATACTTTTATATTTTTTATTTCTCAATTTCGACTAAAAAAAATATAAATATTATTGTATTTTGGATTTATTGAAAAAGTTTCATTTGTCCTTATAGGATCTTGTCCTATAACAATTGATATGGCATTGACATATGATGCCATACAGGTATTTGCTGAAACTACTAAGCACTTAATATATAATCCTCAACCACTTAATTGCTCAGACACAAATGATAATGTGCAAAATGATGGTTCAACTTTCGGAAATTACATGAAATCGGTACTTTTATAATACTCATAACTCATAACTCTGTTGCCGCAATTTTTTAATGACTTCATATTTTTTATAAATTCCTTATAGCTCGATATCTCAGATAAAACTATTACAGGCCGTATTTACTTCGAAGGTAATATTCGTAAAGGATATACGTTTGATGTTATTGAATTACAGCAATCAGGAATTGTTAAAATTGGCACGTGGAACGAATATACCAATTTAACTATTGAACGTCCTCCACTTAAAAATTTGGTAAGCCAAACCATTGATGATTCCCTAGTTAATAAAACTTTCGTGGTGCTAATATCAGTTGAGGTAAGATATAGATATATAATTATGACAGATCTTCACATTTTCGTTAACATTGTCTATCATTAGACCAAACCTTATGCCAGTTTAGTGAAAACTCATAAAAAACTGGTGGGTAATGATCAATACGAAGGGTATGGAGTTGATTTGATAACTGAATTAGCGGACAGATTGGGTTTTAATTTTACACTAGTGCCAGGTGGAAATGATTATGGTACTTTCAATAAAACAACTAATGAAACATCAGGAATGTTAAAAAAAATTGTGGAAGGTGTAAGTTTAAAGATATTATTTATATAATTTATTTCAGGGTTTGAATTGCTGTTGCTAATTGCATTGCTTGCATAATTGCTAACGCATTGCATATGAAAATGAAATAAAAATATGCATTAGCAACAGCAAAAAACGTAAACTGGTTTCATTTTGATTGCTTGCTAATAGTCAATTTTACATTTTTGACTATTATGCATTTGGAATATATGCAACTTGCTTGCTTATGCGTTAGCTGCTTGTGTTTTGCTATTAGCAAATGTATATGGATTTCTTCTTTTTGTTTTTGTTTTAAGGGAATGTGTACGCATTATTTCTTTGTTGGTGCATTGAATATAGTTGTGCAAAATTGTAAGTAATGTGTGTGCGTACAATTTGTATGCAATTAATATTATTTTATCTGTAAATAGATTATGCCTAAATTTATGTTTTTTTTAATTATTAAATTTATGATATATATGATATTAATTATTAATTATATATATATGTTTATATTTGTGGGAAAATTTTAAGTAATATGTAGAACATATTATATACAAAGTTGCCGTTATTCTAAAGTGTTTCATTTTAATCGGTGTATCATGGCTCCGCGACTTAATAAATTCGCAATTCTTCAACATTTTAATATAAATAGTGATAGCGATTTAGCAGTTTGTAAAATTTGCAAACATTCGTTGAAGAGGGACAGAATATTTAATTTAAGAACACATTTACAAAATATGCACCAGTTAAATATAAATAAAAATGAAGATTCCAGCTCAAGTAGTAGTGCAATAGTTGTGAAAAAATCATTCCGAAAACAAACAATTAAAATCGAAATGAGCAAAAAAGAGTTATTTCGCTATTCCATTTAATGTCCTTAATTCGGAAAATATGAGAAAGATTATTGACCCTATTTGTCGTGGCTTAGAAGAAAAATTTAATAAAAAATTTGTATTGAAAAGCATCTCCAACGAGCTGTACGAAGAAGTCGAACTGCTAAATCGCTATCACTATTTATATTAAAATGTTGAAGAATTGCGAATTTATTAAGTCGCGGAGCCATGATACACCGATTAAAATGAAACACTTTAGAATAACGGCAACTTTGTATATAATATGTTCTACATATTACTTAAAATTTTCCCACAAATATAAACATATATATATAATTAATAATTAATATCATATATATCATAAATTTAATAATTAAAAAAAATTAAATTTATGATATCTATTATATTAATTATTATTTATTTATATATGTTTATATTTGTGGGAAAATTTTAGGTAATATGTAGAACATATTATATACAAAGTTGCCGTTATTCTAAAGTGTTTCATTTTAATCGGTGTATCATGGCTCCGCGACTTAATAAATTCGCAATTCTTCAACATTTTAATATAAATAGTGATAGCGATTTAGCAGTTCGACTTCTTCGTACAGCTCGTTGGAGATGCTTTTCAATACAAATTTTTTATTAAATTTTTCTTCTAAGCCACGACAAATAGGGTCAATAATCTTTCTCATATTTTCCGAATTAAGGACATTAAATGGAATAGCGAAATAACTCTTTTTTGCTCATTTCGATTTTAATTGTTTGTTTTCGGAATGATTTTTTCACAACTATTGCACTACTACTTGAGCTGGAATCTTCATTTTTATTTATATTTAACTGGTGCATATTTTTTAAATGTGTTCTTAAATTAAATATTCTGTCCCTCTTCAACGAATGTTTGCAAATTTTACAAACTGCTAAATCGTTATCACTATTTATATTAAAATGTTGAAGAATTGCGAATTTATTAAGTCGCGGAGCCATGATACACCGATTAAAATGAAACACTTTAGAATAACGGCAACTTTGTATATAATATGTTCTACATATTACTTAAAATTTTCCCACAAATATAAACATATATATATAAATTAATAATTAATAATTAATATCATATATATCATATATATCATATATATCATAAATTTAATAATTAAAAAAACATAAATTTAGGCATAATCTATTTACAGATAAAATAATATTAATTGCATACAAATTGTACGCACACACATTACTTACAATTTTGCACAACTATATTCAATGCACCAACAAAGAAATAATGCGTACACATTCCCTTAAAGCAAAAACAAAAAGAAGAAATCCATATACATTTGCTAATAGCAAAACACAAGCAGCTAACGCATAAGCAAGCAAGTTGCATATATTCCAAATGCATAATAGTCAAAAATGTAAAATTGACTATTAGCAAGCAATCAAAATGAAACCAGTTTACGTTTTTTGCTGTTGCTAATGCATATTTTTATTTCATTTTCATATGCAATGCGTTAGCAATTATGCAAGCAATGCAATTAGCAACAGCAATTCAAACCCTG